CGCTAAGGGCACGTACTTCGGTTGCAGTTTGTCCCCGGCCCTGGTTGGTCGTGCGGGTGGCAGCCACTCGAAGTGTCCCTTCACGTCGATGTTTCTCTCTCTCTCCCCCTTCCTCTCTCTCCCTCCCTCTCTATCTGTGCAAAAAATGGAAAAATATCCTCGGGTGAGGATAAAATAATAATAATAATAATAATAATAATAATAATAAAAAGAAGAAGAAACAAAACTGAGTAGTCCTATGATCAAATACATTGAATTAAGTGTTGAAAATATTTCTATAAAGAAAACAACAAGCCCAAAAGATTTGAATAGCAAATTGTGAAATCTTTAAGAAAAAAATAATTCTAATAAAAAATAAGGAACTATTCCCCCGTTACTTTATGATTATACCATAATTCGATGTAAAATCTTGAAAATAACCTTAAAAGAAGGATAATTCAAACCAACTTTATAGATCAGATAGATACAAAACTTCCAAACAAAATATTAGCAAACCAACCCCAGCAATATATAATAATGTTAAATATTATGTTCTAGTTAAGGTTTATCCTCAACATGCAAGGCTATTTAACATTTAAAAAATCAGATTAACATTAACAGATTAAAGAATGTAGTTATTTCAACAGATGAAGAAAAGGCATTTGAAAAATTAACATACAATTTATGGGGAAAATTTTTTTCAAAAATCTAGGTATAGAGGGAAACTTCTTAACCTGATAAGTGTAAAAACAAACAAACAAAAAACTACAGCATAATATTATATTTAATTGTGAGACATTAAAGCATTCTTTTAAAAAAATCTTTATTGTTGAGAGTATTACAGATGTCTCCCCTTTTTTTCTTCCACTGCTCCCCTCGTCCCGGTTCCCATCCCACCCCAGGCCTTCACCTCTCTAAAGTCTGTGTCCATGGGCAATGCATATTTGCATGTAAATTCTTTGGTTAATCTCTTCCCACCTCTTCTCCCCCTTTCTCTCTGAGGTCTGTCAGTCTGTTCCATGTTTCCATGCCTCTGTTTCTATTTTATTCATCAGTTTATTTTGTTCATTAGATTCCACATATAAGTGAGATCATATGATACTTGTCTCTTTCTCTGATTGGCTTATTTCGCTTAGCATAATACTCTCCAGGTCCCTCCATGATGTCTTCAAGGATAATAGATCCTTCTTTTTACAGCTACATAGTATTCTATTGTGTATATGTAGCACAGCTTTTTTATCCACTCATCTTCTGACTCTTAGGAATATATCCTAAGAATCCCAAAATACCAATCAGAAAGAATATATGTACCCCTATGTTCATAGCAGTACTATTCACAATAGCTAAAGCATTCTTTTAAGACAGAGATCAAACCAAGGATGCCCGGTATCATCACTTCCACTCATCATTGTATTGAAACTAATAAAGAAAAAATTTTTTTTAAATGTGTGTGTGTGTGTGTGTGTATTTAAAAGGAAGTAGCAAAAGTGTCATTACTCATTATCTATATTGAAAATCCAAAGATGTTTAGGATAAATTATTAATTTTTTTTTTTTTTTTTTATCCTCACCCGAGGACATTTTTGCATTTTTTGTTCAGACAGAGCGGGAGGGAGAGAGAGGAAGAGAGAGAGAGAGAAACATCGATGTGAAGGGACACATCGAGTGGCTGCCACCCGCACGACCAACCAGAGCCGGGGACAAACTGCAACCGAGGTACATGCCCTTAGCGGGAACCGAACCGGGTCTCTCTGTACCGCAGGCCAACACTCCAAAGGCTGAGCCAAACCGGCAAGGGCTAAATTATTAATTTTTAAGAGAGTTTAACCAGCTGCTAGATACAAAGTCAATGTAAAAAAAAAATTTTTTATATTTTTATTTGTACCCATCAGCAACAAACAAGTAGCAAATTTAAGACAATTTAAGAACACCAACATTTCTTAAATTAAACAGAGAAAGACAAATACTGTAGGATCTCACTTACATGTAGAATCTAAGAAAGCCAGTCTCATAGAAGCAGAGAGTAGACTGGTGGGGTTATCAGGGGATAGGGGATGAGGGAAATGAGAAAATGTTGATCAGGAGTACAAACTTCCAGCTATAAATGAATAAGTTCTGGGAATCTAAAATTCCTCAATGGTAACTATAGTTGATAATACTGTATTATATACTTAAAAGTTGCTAAGAGAGTGTATGGTTAATGTTCTCACCACCATCACAACAAAAAATGGTAATTATTTGATGTGAAAAATGTGTTAACTAACTTTATTATGGTAAACTTTTTGCAATATATACATGTATCCAATTATCACGTTGTACACCTTAAATGTACACAATGTTATATGTCATTTATATCTCAATCAAACTGGTGGGGGGACAGCTAACATTTCAAGTTTTATCCCCCCCAAAAGAAAAAGCATAAGAAATAATTTTAATAAGATGTGTATGACTTTTATGGAGAAAAATTTAAAAACTTTATTGATCGACACTAAGGAAAAACTAAGTTAAAATGATAAATGAAACATTCATAAACTTTCAGCCCTAGTCATCAATATATTGGAAATACAGAAAATAGATAAACATGGTAAACTACACCATCAACTATAATCCAAAATATGGAGCCCTGGCCGGTTTGGCTCAGCGGTTAGAGCATCGGCCTGCGGTCCGGAGAGACCCGGGTTCGGTTCCCGCTAAGGGCATGTACCTCGGTTGCAGTTTGTCCCCGGCCCTGGTTGGTTGTGCGGGTGGCGACCACTCGATGTGTCCCTTTCACATCGATGTTTCTCTCTCTCTCTGTTCCTCTCTCTCCCTCCCACTCTATCTGAACAAAGAATGGAAAAATGTCCTCGGGTGAGGATGATAAAAAATAATAATAATAATAATAATCCAAAATATGGAAAACTTTACAAGACCAACAACCCAGTTTCTGTAACAAAAAAATTCAAAGAAAAAAATGAAAGATGGAAGAAAATGTATATATTAAATGAGACTTAAGAACCAATCAATGGACATGGACCACAAATCTGGGGACAGGACGGAGAGGGTGAGGGAGGGGGGTAGCAGTGCGGGAAAAAGGAGAAATATCTGTAACAAAAATAAATTAATTAATTAAATTTTTTAAAAAAAGAACCAATCAAAATCAATCCCAAGGTTTCTTACCGCAATTTTAAAAAATGTTAATCCCAAATAAAATGTAAAAATAACATAATATTTATGAGATGACTGGAAATCTGAACCTTCACTTTTAACAAGCCATTGAGTTGCCCTTGATACTAAGGAATTAGTGTTATTTTTTTTTGTACAACAATAGCATTGAGTTTTGTTATCTTTCAGAGATATATACAGAAACACAGGTGAATTTACATGATATCTGGGATTTTTTCAAAATAATATGATAGTAGAAGAAGATGGGGATATGGATGGGACAGAAGTGAACAGAACTGATGATAGATGTTGGAGCTGGACAATGGGCACCTGAGGGTACATTATATGAGTTGTCTTTGTCTTTGTAATTCAAAATTTTAAGTTAAATTATATATTTATAATATACATAAAATTCCCCTAAATTATTTATAGATTCAATACAATCCTAATCAAAATCCCAACAGGAGACCAATTAAATAAATGTAACACGCCCTGGCCAGTTTGGCTCAGCGGTTAGAGTGTCGGCCTGCGGTCCAGAGAGACCCGGGTTCAGTTCTCGCTAAGGGCACGTACCTCGGTTGCAGTTTTTCCCCAGCCCTGCTTGGGTCGTGTGGGTGGCAACCACTCGATGTGTCCCTTTCACGTCGATGTTTCTCTCTCATTCTCTCTCATTTTCTCTCTTTCTCCCTCCCACTCTATCTGAACAAAAAATGGAAAAATGTCCTTGGGTGAGGATAGAAAAATAAATAATAAATAAATAAATAAATAAAATGTAACATATACATGTTGATAGAATACTACACAGACTTTAAAATGATGCTCTTGAAAAATATTTAAGTACATAAAAGTTGTTTATACATTTTGTTAAAAGTCAGATTATACAGCATATGCGTAGCAAACGGCCATTTATGTAAAAACTAGACCAACTGAGGACCAGACTGAGATAAGTTTCTGTAGAAGGTTAAATATCAGAAAGGTTAATTTAGGTGAGTGATTCTTAACCTTCACTATGCATCAGAATCACCTAGGAGAACTTAAAAACTAGACAGATGCCCAGGTCCACACTAAAAGTTTACATTTCAACTGGCCTGAGATGGGGTCCAAGCATCAGTAGATTTTAAAGCCTTACCTGGCGATTCTAATGTTCAGGTCTGAGAGTCAATGATCTAGATTTACAAAGAGAAACATGGATAGATGAATGGAGAGTAGGAAGATAGGTAAATGATAGATGCTAGATAGATAGATAGATGATAGATAGATAGATAGATAGATAGATAGATAGATAGATAGATAGATAGATAGAAAAAAGATCTGAATGTTAGAAGGAAGGGAATGGGGGGTGGGAGAGGCTGGGGCGGAGAGAGAAAGGGGGGAATTTGGAATGACACAGACATAACTCAAAAATTAGCCATAACTCGCCCTGGCCAGTTTGGCTCAGCGGTTAGAGCGTCGGCCTGCGGTCCGGAGAGACCCGGGTTCGGTTCCCGCTAAGGGCACGTACTTCGGTTGCAGTTTGTCCCCGGCCCTGGTTGGTCGTGCAGGTGGCAGCCACTCGATGTGTCCCTTTCACGTCGATGTTTCTCTCTCTCTCTCCTTCCTCTCTCTCCCTCCCACTCTATCTGTACAAAAAATGGAAAAATATCCTCGGGTGAGGATAAAAAAAAAAAAAAATTAGCCATAACTCAATCCCTAATTGAACAGAGTATAGAATGAAACAAAAGTGAATCTGGAAAAATAAAATAAAAAGTGAATGTGTCTAGCTCATCCAATAAAATTTACAAGTTGCATATTCTTTTATTTATTATATTTATTTAAAATCCCTACTCCTCTACTCTCTTCACAAGGATCTATGATGTCTCCGGAGTTAAAGAATGGGGAATGACTGGTTATGGGTAAGCAGTTTCCTTTGGGGGTGATGAAAATGTCTGTAACTAGACAGTGGCAATGGTTGTACAGCGTGTCAATGTACTAAAGGTCGCTAATGGTAAATTTCATATTACGTGTATTTTACCACACTAAAAAACACATTTAAAAAGATTAGCTCAGCCCTGGCCGGTTTGGCTCAGCGGTTAGAGTGTCGGCCTGCGGTCTGGAGAGACCCGGGTTCGGTTCCCGCTAAGGGCACGTACTTCGGTTGCAGTTTGTCCCCGGCCCTGGTTGGTCATGCGGGTGGCAGCCACTCGATGTGTCCCTTCACGTCGATGTTTCTCACTCTCTCTCCCTTCCTCTCTCTCCCTCCCACTCTATCTGTACAAAAAAAAAAAAAAAAAGATTGGCTCAGCGGTTAGAGCATTGGCCTGCGGTCCAGAGAGACCTGGGTTCGGTTCCTGCTAAGGGCACATATCTTGGTTGCAGTTTGTCCCTGGCCCTGGTTGGGTCGTGCGGGTGGCAACCACTCGATGTGTCCCTTTCACGTCGATGTCTCTCTCTCTCTCTCTCTCTTCCTCTCTGTCCCTCCCACTCTATCTGAACAAAAAATGAAAAAATGTCCTCGGGTGAGGATGCAAAAAAAAAAAGATTGATTAAAGACTAACACGAGAACCAATTAAAAAGAGCACAGGATGTCACCGGGCAATTGAGATGAGTTAATTATTGCCTCCAGTACTGAATTTGTTCCAAGTCTCCTAGCAGTTAAGGCAAAAGAAGAAAGCTGGCAGGTCACCGGGTTCTCTGTACACGTTCAGGGCTCTTTGTATATCAGGGTCCCCCTCTCATTTCGTTTTGCCCACTCCCTGTATCACAAGCCCAGCAAGTGCAGAAGTAAAAATGGGAGTCCTCCGGAAGGTCTGATTCAGCAAAGAAAGGGAGGTTTGCCATGGCTGGGGTAAGCAAGTTAGAGCTCAGCTCCTTCCCCACTGGAGTGCATGCAGCTGCTCACAGCCTGTCATCAAACTGCTCCTGAAGAAAGCAGCTCCTGACACTACATGGCCTCGGCAGCTAGGTCTAAATTGTTATTTGTTCAGCCTGAGCTGGGCAGAATCAGCCCTGACAGTGATGGCCTGGTGAGTATTATGTAAGGGGGTGGGGGGGAACCCATCTTGCTGGCCCATAGACAAAGCAGATGATTTAACAGACAAAACAGAGCCAGGCTCTTCACTCCCAGGCAGCCAAGGGGCTATTCAAAGCCAGGGCCTGGGAGATTTTCATGAGGTGCTGACATACGAAGCCGGAATGCAGCAGGAACAAGGCAGAACTGACACCCATGCAGTCAGGCATGGCAAGCAACTCAGGGCATCCAAACTGGGCCCTCAGCAACTCTGACTAGGCCCCACCCATGTGTGAAAGAGAATGTGCTTTGGGGGTGGGGGCCCCAACTTTCAGACCTGGGCCTTCAGCAAACTTCACCTTTGCCAACACCCTTACTATTGTTCAAATGAGGAAAACTCTCCAGGCCTTTCCCATGGAAGCACAGGACTCGTGCAGAGAGCCAGGAGTACTTGGCCCCTTGGCTGCTGATTAAGGTACCAACATCAGGGGCTGGTAGGGGCAGCAGAGGAACACTGCATACCAGGCACTAGCTACGAGTCCACCCTGAGACACTCATTTCACCTTCACAGGAGCTCTATAAGGTAAAGTACCCTGTGATCTCTGTTTTACACATAAGCAAACAGTCTTCAAAGGAGTAACTTGCCAAAATCAAACAGCTAGGAAATGGCAGACCTGGGATTTGAACCCAAGTGTTCTCAGCACACAAACCCATGCTCTTTCTATGTAAATTGAACCAGTGCACAAGACTCAAAAGGCCCTGGAACCATACTGTTTTCAATCTAAGTGTCTTTGGCACTTTCCAGCTCTGTGACGCTGGTTCTATTTGTATCCCTTCCCTTCTTGGGGCCTCCGTGTCCCTATCTGCAAAATGAGGTGCTTGTAAAAACTGAATGAGACAGGCAGGTGAGGATGCTTGGCTGTTCACTGGTATAAGGACAGTATCAATGAGCTTCATCACCGCACTTTTCCACTGTTTTCAAAAACCACACCCACCCGAAGGAGTATGCCAGACCTCTAGGAATGACACTTTATCTGGTCCCCTCTCAGAACTCTGAAAGAGCATTCTCTGCCCAGTGTCATAAGCAACTTGAGAACAGAATTGCACCTGACTTGTCTACCCCCAAAATAATCAGCACAGAGTCCAGCATTCAGTAGGGACTCAATAAATGCTGTTGAATGGATGAAGACATGAGTGAATGGTTTGCCACAAGACACATCACATGTTGTGATGAAAAGAGCTGGGCATCAGAATACCTGGTTCTGGCTTTGCTACTAACTCACTATATGTCCTTGGGCCACTCACTTCGGCGACCCCATTTATAAAACAAGGAGGTTGAGTTGGGTACTCCCTAGCAGCCATTTCAGCTCTGATTTTGTGGGGTTGAGAAAGAAAGATCAATCATACTTTCTGCAGCCTCCCTTCCCCATAAAAAGCTAAAGCTATATTATTATCACATTTGAGATAGACAGGGAACATTCTAAACAAATGGTAGATCTGTAACCCCTGATCCAATCAGAAGCTGACAAGCAACATTCTAAACAGTCAGCTCCTTCAGTCTATGGAACAGACTCGCCCATGTGTGCACAAAGCTTTCCAGTTTGCAAAGCACTTTTCCTCCTTTCTCTCCTTTAAACCTCAGCACAGACCTATGAGTGGGACAGGACAGATGTCACCATGCCTTTTACTGATCATAAAAACTGAGGTAACAGGGATGAGGTGACTTGCCAGTGGGTGGTGGGTATGGGGGGATGTATATGGGAGAAAAGCAGCAGAGCTAAGATATGAATCCAGAACCAATTCCTTACCCCAAATTCTGCCTCCTTTCCTTTACACAGCTTACTTGTACACAGTCAGTGAGGAGATAAACTCATTTAACCAAAATCAAACTTGGCGGGTCTCAAGTTTACCACCTGGGTTGAAAAATGACCAGCATAACAGAGCATTTTAAAGTCAAATTTGAGGCAGAAGGGTGTAGTGCACTGATACCAGGTAGGCTTAGGGCCTTGGAGACTCAGCAGTACAGGGAGGTAAGAGTCCAAGCCCCAGCCCATGCCCAGGCATCCTATGCCATCTCAGTGCAGCTGCTGAAAGGATGACCTATATGCAACCTCTGAACATGGAGATACTGAAATACTGTGATGCCCCATACATAAATAACCCCTCCTGGAGCCCCACCCTCCCTACCCATGTCCCCTTCCCCTGAGATCTCAGCCTTTCTTTCTTGTCTAAGCCCTTCCCCTGGGATTCCCTGAAACACCCCAAGGCTATGCAGCTCAAGAGTTAAAGCATCAAACAGCAGGGGTCAGGGGTGTGGTCTTAGCAGGGTTCCATTCTAATTCGACCCCTCTTCCAGTATATACATTTTGATCGGTCAATAACCCTACCTTCCTGGTTGGTTGGTTGGTTGGTTGGTTGGTTTTAATTTTTTTTTTTAATCCTCACTAGAGGATATTTTTCCATTTATTTTCAGACAGACTGGAAGTGAGGGAAGAAGGGAGGGAGAAAGAGATAGAGAAACATCAATGTGAGAGAAACTGTCGACTGGCTGTCTCCCGCACAACCCTGACCAGAGCTGGTGACTGAACCACAACTGAGGTACATGCCCTTGACCAGAATGGAACCGGCAACTCTTTGGTCCAAGGGCCGACACTCTAACCACTGAGCCAAACTGGCCAGGGCAGTTTGTTTGCTTTTAACTGCTTGATTGAGGTATAATAGAACAAAAAACAGCACATATTTAATGTGCACATTTTGATGAGTTAGAAATATGCATACACCAGTGATACTATCACTACAAGGTAACATACATATCCAACATCTCCAAAAGATTCATTGTGTCCCTTTTCATGTATGTTTTAAGAACATTTAATATGAGATCTATTCTCTTCATATATATTATCCTCACCTGAGGACACTTTTTGCATTTATCTTCAGATAGAGCAGGAGGGAGAGAGGGAGGAAGAGAGAGACAGAAACATCGATGTGAGAGAGACACATCGAGTTGTTGCCACCCACACAACCCCAACTGGGGCTGGGGACAAACTGCAACCGAGGTATATGCCCTTAGCGGGAACCGAACCTGGGCCTCTCTGGTCCATGGGCTGACGCTCTAACTGCTGAGCCTAACTGGCCAGGGCTCTTCACCAGAGCTCTTCACATATTTTTAAGTGCACAACACTGTATTATTAACTATAGGCACTATGTCCTACAGCAGATATCTACAATGTATTCATTAATCTTGTATAACTGTAACCTTATACTGGTTCTTAAATGTTTAATATTACTCCATCTGTCTAGAGAGACCATGGGGAATCTCTTAGTGCTTCTCAATCATTCTGAGTGTGAAGATACTTTTGTTTTTTTGTTAATCCTCACCCAAGGATATTTTTCCATTGATTTTTAGATAGAGTGGAAGGGAGGGAGGGAGGTGGAGAGAGTGAGAGAAAGAGAGAGAAACATCTATATGAGAGAGACACATCTATTGGTTGCCTCCTGCACGCCGGGAATCAAACCTGCAACCTTGACCTGGAATCAAACCCAAGACACTCTGTCCTTGGGCTGATGCTCTAACCACTTAGCAAAACTGGTCAGAGCTGAAGATACTTTTTTTACACAGCTATCAATTGCAGAGTTCTCACAACATGCACACATACATATAAAGTAGACATACTTTTTAGTAAACATTGTTTGAGAAATCTCATGTCCAAAAACTAACCAAAAGTTCAGTAACATCTTTAAATGAATTTGCATTTTACTTATGGCACAGCTTTAGACATATTTGAAAAGCAATCATAAGTATATATGCAAGCCCTGGCCGGTTTGGCTCAGCGGTTAGAGCATCAACCTGCGGTCCGGAGAGAGCCGGGTTCGGTTCCCGCTAAGGGCATGTACCTCGGTTGCAGTTTGTCCCCGGCCCTGGTTGGTCGTGCGGGTGGCAGCCACTCGATGTGTCTCTTTCACGTCGATGTTTCTCTCTCTCTCTCTCTCTCTCTCTCTCTCTCTCTCTCTCTCTCTCTCTACCTCTCTCTCCCTCCCACTCTATCTGTGCAAAAAATGGAAAAATGTCCTCGGGTGAGGATAAAAAAAAAAAAAAAAAGTATATATGCAAGACCTGTGGGAGACTTAGTCAATACACCATGCCTAGTGCTCATAGGGACTGGAGCATATTTCACAGTCTCCTTCTCCACAGGGTAAAAACTACTACTAATCTAGCCAACCAATTATTCCCCCTCAATTCAATTGCTGAAGAAACTGAGGTGGAAGAGAAGACTGGACCTTCTCAAACCCATTCACAACTTGGAGCTAAAACTTGACGTGGTTTCATATCCAAAGTTTACTGTGTTTAAGGGTGGTGCGGGGGTGCTGACTGGGAAGAGGCTATTGTGGGTCGACCACTAGTGATTCTTCCATTATGGGGCAGAAATCATTCATGGAGGTAGCCAGGCAAAGACCTACTGTTCTTTCAACCTCAATCAGTGGCCACTCAAGCCACTGGAATGGGGAGGTTTTGCAAAACAGCTCAATCTCCAAAGAGAACTCAGACTACAACTTGAGACCTGACTGATCAGAGGATCTACTGCTCACTACAATTCACTCAAAGAGGTCTTATGAGTTTGGAGGCAAAGCACGGTGTAAGACAGAGTTGGAAGAGTAATAATGCATTAATATACTAGGGTACTGCAAAGAAATACCAAGGGCTTTCACAAGAAACAGAGAATTCAAATCCATCTCAGATATATGGCCTTGGCCAAGTTTTACTTTTCTGATCTCAATTTCTAAATCTGTAAAATGGGACTGTTCTGAGAATTGCTTAAATCAACTGACAGATGTACAGCTCCTATTCAAAGCCTGATATAGGTACATTGCTCAACATATGTTCAGTTTCCCAGCATCACCAGGAAAATTCAAACTTCTCCATTCAGCAGAACTATAGCCTGACAATTGGTTTAAGAACCACTATATTGTTCTGAAAAATAATTCTTTCAAGTCCCTTAATTTGATTTTTCTTCTGCCCACTTTTCTGACCCTTTGGTCTTTCATTTCTTCTTCTCTCCCATTTTCCTATATTCAGCACTACTCCACAGCAACTTTAAGCTCAGATAGGTCAATTCAGCTAGCTGCACCCAGCTAAGCCACACCCAAATTCCTGACCCATTGAAACTGTGAGATAATAAATGTTTGTTGTTTTAAGGCACTAATTTTGGGATAATTTGTTACATAGCAATAGATAATAATTATATTATTAGTCATGAGGGAAATACAAATTAAAGCTACAGTGAAATACCACTACACACTCACTAAAAAGGTCAAAATTTTAAAGACTGAACACATCTCTATCTGAGGTGTGGTGGATTCTACTCAGCAGAGGGAAGAACCTCAGTGCTGCAGGGTGTCAGGCAGCAATCTCCTCCATTACCTGTCACACTCCTGATTACCACCACCCACTAGAGTCATTAGAAGAATCCACAATGCTCACCTGATCAACCTCTGCAGACCCAGTGAGACCCAGGGCCTGGAGGAGGTCTGCCTCTCCTCCCATCCTCCAGTGCCTGGCAATTGGAAGGAGGCTCCCGATGCTCCTGAGTATCCCCAGTACTCTCGAGAGCTCTTCGAGTTTCCACTCCTCCTCCATTACCACCAGTCACCTCATCAAGCAAATCTGGTGAGGGCTCCAAGTAGCCAAGAGGAAGAGAGTAGTGCCTCAGAGGCAGGGCCTGACCCCAAGAATCTGCCCACAGATGCTCTAAATGAAAATGTGCCTTTGTGGGTGAATTTCTTGATGCTCGGTATCAAATGAAAGAATCAATAACCAAGAAAGGTATGTTGAAGATTGTCAGCAAAGAGTACAAAGATCATTTCCTTGAGATCTTCCTGAGAGCCTCTGTGTGCATGGAGATCATCTTTGGCCTTGATATGAATCAAGTGGATCCCGGCAACCACTGCTGTGCCGTCCTCATCAGGATGGGCCTCGCCTATGATGGGGTACTGCACAGTGAAAAGGGCATGCCCGAGACCGGCATCCTGATATTTATCCTGGGTGCAATCTTCATGAAGGGCAACCAGGCCACCGAAGGGGAAGTCTGGGAAGTTCTGAGTATGATGGGGTTATATTCTGGGAGGAAGCACTGCATCTTTGAGGAGCCCAGGAAGCTCATCACTGAATATTTTGTGGAGAAGAAATACCTGAAGTACCAGCAGGTGGCCAACAGTGACCCTGCACAATTTTAATTCCTGTGGGGCCCGAGAGCCCACGCTGAAACCATCAAGATGCAAGTCCTTGAGTTTCTGGCCAAGGCTCATGGGACTGATCCAAGTTCCTTCCCATCTCAGCATGAGGAGGTGTTGCAAGACGAAGAAGAGAGAGCCCGAGCCAGAATTTCGGCCAGGGCTGTCTCAATGTCCATGACCACTGACAGTTATAAGGCCATGCCTAGCAGCTCCTCCCACACCTGGGAAGTCAGGGATAGTTTCCTCATGCACTGTTTGAAGACGCAGTTCGTATTCATAGAATTTAGGTCTGAGATGGGGCTGAAAGGAACACAGTATATATGCCTGTGTTCCTCTTTTATGTGTATAACTTGAAAATCTATTCTTTTATTTGTTGACATACGTATTATTCAAACTTTCTTTTTAGTATACCTTTAATTAGCTTCAAAATGTCCAAGTTGATTAATGATTAATGATATTGGTCACCCCTGTAATGCTCTAAGGAGCTTTTGCAATAAGAGTTTTGCAGTTTTGGGAAACAAATGTGTAACCATTCATCTTATGTTGTCATCTGGAAAGAGACAACATGAAATTACTGTAGCTATGTCCCTGGAAACATAACAGAAATGAGCTTAAGAAAGTTGGAGTTGCCTGGCTGGTGTGGCTCAGTGGTTGAGAGTCGAGACATGCACCAAGAGATCGCTGGTTCGATTCCCATTCAGGGCACATGCCCAGGTTGTGGGCCCGATCCTCAGTGGTGGGGGGGTGGGGCCAAGAGGCGGCCAATCAATGTTCTCTCTCATCAATGTTTCTATCTGTCTGTACTTCTCCCTTCCTCTCTCTCTAAAATCAATAAAGAAAAAAAAATTGGGGTTGATGGAGAAAAACAGAGGAGAAAATCTAAATGATATTCAAATCTTGGCTTTCTTATCCTTTTTAGTTTTTGTTGTGTAAAATTAAGTGACAGATAAATGTATTTGCCCAGCTCTTTCAAAAATGTACAAGAAATAAATCTTAAAAAATAAAAGACTGAATATATCAAATGTTGGTAGGGAGGTGAAGCAACCAGAGCTCTCATATACTGCTAGTGGAAATAAAAGAAATACAGCCACTTTGTAAAAAGAGTTTGGCAATTTCTTAAAAATTTAAACATACACCTACCATCCGATCCAGACAATTCTCTCCTAGGTATTTTACCCAAGAGAAATGAAAGTCTTGTACAGAACTACTCAAAGCAACTTTGTTTGTAATAGCCCAAAATGGAAACCCAAATGTCCATCAACAAGTGAATGGATAAACAAATTGTGGTGTATCCATATATAATGAAATACTATTTAGCAAAAAAAAAAAGGACTTGACTATTGATATCACAACATGAATGAGAATCAAAATAATTATGCAGACTAAAAGCAGTCAGACAAAAAGAATGCACTGTATTATTTCATTTAATAAAATTCTATAAAATGTAAACAAGTCAATTGTGATATAGGTAGATCAGTGATAGCCTGCAGATAGTGGGGGTGGGAGGGTTGTATCAATCACAAGGGGCTTGAGGAAAATTTTAGGGGTGATTGAGGTTAATTATCTTGATTGTGGTGAGTTGCAAAATGTCCTTGGAGACAATTTAGTAGCACTATATTAAGAACCATCAAAATGTTCCTTGCCCTATAAATCTCACTCTTAGGAATTTGTCTTAAAGTTATTTCAAAATAAATAAAAAGCTCTTTATACAAATACATTCATAGCAGCATCACCTATATCAAAGATACTGAAAATTACCTAATTTGGCAGCTACTGTGAAAGGGTTAAATCAACACTAGACCTTTTCATTCACAATTACGGATGAAAAATGGGAAGTAAAAGGCAACATGTAGTTATGTTTACAAAACAATGCAAATGCATATACAAAGACTACAGAATTGTACAAATACTATGGTTACACCTATGTAAACATATATGTGTGAGTGTAAGAACACAAAGAAGAAGAAAAATATAACACAGAAAAATCTAGTAGATGAATGATAGGTAATTGGCATGTGGGTGACTTTTTTCTTCCTGTTTTGTCACCTGTAATGTTACAATGTTTTCATAACAGTTTTCAAAATGTCTTTGTGTTGGTTTTGGCTCAGTCTTCCAACCTGGTGATTGTTCTAACTCTTGTAACTGTCAGCTACCAGCATCAGCACCTCAGTGTGGTCAGCTGCAAGCTCAATCAGTTTGCCTTCTACTCCTTCTTTTATATCATTGATAAAATGCTGAACAGTGCTAGGGTGTGGTATGAAGAACACGCTCTTTTCTTCTCTTGGTGGAAATTTTCCATCACTGTTAATCTGTTTAGGTGTTTTCAATACCATAAATGACAGAAACTAGTTCCCAAGGGAGGAGTATGAGGTGGTCAGCAAAGTGAACCTGAAGAAAGAGGAGGAGCTGCTTACCTACGCTTTGACTGTTTTACTCACTCATTGGATAAAGCCAATGTCAATCATCTTTGGCAAGCAAATGATCTGACAATCAAAGGCAATTCCATAAACCACATATAGGAAATAGTAGGTGTTCTATGAGAAAGTTAGAACTTTGAAAAAGGAAGCAATAGAAGCATTGCAAGATGTCATTGGAGTCTGGCCGGTGAGGCTCAGTGGTTGAGCACTGACCCATGCACCAAGAAGTCGCCAGTTCGATTCCCAGTCAGGGTACATGCCCAGGTTGTGGGCCCAAACCCCAGTGAGGGGCATGCAGGAGGTGGCCAATCAATGTTCTCTCTCATCAATGTTTCTATCTCTCCCTCTCCTTCAATAAAGAAAATCAATAAAGAAAAAACATTTTAAAAAAAAGATGTCCTTGGAGACAATTTGGTAGCACTATATTAAGGACAATAAAAATATTCTGGGCCCCATAAATCTCACTTTTAGGACCTTGTCTTAAGGATATTTCAAAATAAATAAAAAGTTCTTTATATAAACACATTCATAGCAGCATCACCTATATCAAAGATATTAGAAATCACCTAATTGCCCAGCTGTCATTAAAGGGTAGAGGCTTCACTACTGTTATTCTACTGACCCAGAGCCAAGTCCCAGCAGTCCATTTGGTCCCACCACCTGGGGCCAGTTTGGCCTGGCTAGGTTTCAGGGAAGACAGAGGAGCCCACCCAACCACAGAAGCAGTCTGTCGCCTCTTCCCTACTTCTGGAGTATGTCCAAATCCACCTCAGGAGGGCAAGCCCAGATTCCCTAACCTGCTCTGTGGATCCTGAAGTCCTACCCTACTGGGTGGTAGCACATGGATGGCTTCAGGACTGAAGACTATGCCTCTGACTATGTCCAGCCCAATGCTGAAGCTTTGCTCAACGCTCCTGCCAAAAGGTTGGGCTAGATCTGCCTAGGCAGAAAACCAGGGCTGCATGCAGACTCAAGGCCCTAAGTTTTGAGGACACTAGGGAGCTAGGCTGCCCCTGTGAGACCCTTAGACCCAAGCCCAGTAGGGCCAAGTTGGCCAAACTGTCCCTCTAAGATGGTCCAGAATCATCCCAGAGGCCTCTGTACCTGAATCTTGGATAAAAGATGCCATTCTGAGTCTGAACCTTCCCTCATGCACTCAGAATGGCATCTGTTATCCAAGATTCAGTATTATCCCCATTTTATAGATTGAAAAGTTGAGGCTCAGGGTGGAAACGTGGCCAAAGATCACAGGACTAGAAAGAGGCAGACAAAGAAACTGACCCAGAACAGGGTGACTAACCGGTTCTCACAGTAAGGCCACACTGTGTTTTGGACCAAGCTCTATGCTGGTGACTCAGGTACCCAGCTGCATGATGTCATACTTCCTACCATTGAGGAGCTCCCAAAGAACAGAGACAGTCACATAGCCAAATCATTATATCACAAAATGTATGACAAGTGCCAAAATCCAAACATGCTAGGGCATGCTCAAAGAGGGAGTGTTTGACCTACTCAGGCAGATCAGGGAGGACTTCCCAGGAGAGGAGACATTTGAGCTGTGGGAGGAGTGGGGAGCTTTTCCAGGCTGAGGTTATGAACTTAGGCTAGAGAACACTTGGTGGGGAGTCCTCTCAAGTGGAGAACAGGGAAGGCTAAGGAAGAGAGGAAGGGTGAGAAGGGGCTGTGTTGGCCCTGAGTGCCAGACCAGGAAAAGTACACTTGATCTTGCCTTGGATGAAGGGGAGCCACTGAGGGCCTTTGAGCAGCCTAGTGGCCCAGTCTGTGCAAAGACAGACAACTGGAACACCCTGCTGAGGGTGACAGTTTGGAACTTTAGACTTGTCCAGAAGGCTGGTACGGTGCAACCATGTGCCACCCACCAATCCCTGGGCCAGGCTCCGCAGAGCACAGGGAATGGAGAGCTCCCAGAGGCCCTGGAGCAGAAAGGCCCTAGGATCATGACTCCCACCTGCTCCAGTGTTCCCTTGGGTGGATGTCAGTCCGTCCCAGCCTCGCCACTGTCCACACCAGCCTTCGGGAGGGAAGAGGCTGACAGGGCAGCTGAGTCTTGGTTGGAGTTCTGGAGCTGGCTCCCTTCCCACTTGTGGGTCCTCTTCAGTAGTGACTGGGGAGAAGTACCCAGAAAGAGAGGACACGTGCAAGCCAATTCAATACACTGAGGCCAAAAGATGGAAGACGAGCCCCAGAGAGACACACACAGCCTTGAGACAGAGAGAAACCAAAAAAAAAAAAATGCCGAAGGAAAGGGGCCAGGAGGAAAAGAGCTTAGCCGCGCTCCAGTGTGTCTGGAGTGCAAGTGTCTTCTGACTCCGGGTCCCTTCACCCGCCTCCTGCTGTGGGAGCTGGTCAACCAAACCTGCATGAGGCACGGTTCCAAGCTCTGACGGAACTCAACACCATCCGAGCCCCCACCCTGAGAGCCCAGACTGAGCTGTGGGGCGAGCTACCCTGAAGGCTACAATGCTGGCTGGCTGGCCCGAGGAGTCAAGGATCCCAATCAGAGGCTTGGGGTCGGCACGGAGCTTGGCCTGGGAAGGGGGAACAAGTCAGTCTTTCCTGTGCCTCAGGGGTTGAACTGGAATCCAGGCTAGGGCATTTCCCCTTTGAGGGGGACCCTTTTGAGATTGCCTGCAAACCCTGAACCTATGGCCCGAAATGAACGTCCACAATCTTCTGTGCAAACTCCAGGCTTCTCGGAGTCCCAAAGATGTGCAAAGAGCTCAGCAAACTCAAGAAACCCGGATGCCCGACGATTCCAGAGGACTGCTCTTGTGCCCACGGTCCCAGAATTGAACCGACGTGTGCCTGCCGGCCTCCACCTCCGCCCGCCCGGGGCCACGGCTTTCCCTAGTGAATCCATCGCCAACGCAGAGCTCTCTCTCACCCGGTGCCCGGCTCGGTGTGAGCAGACAAGGGTCGTGCCTTTGCACGCCTCGGTCTTCGGCTCTGGAATGCTCGCTGAGTGTCCGAGAGAGCATTGAGGACTTTGAGCTCTCCGCTGGTCCCTGACTCCCTGCGCGCGGTCAGACAAGTACAAACTCTCTGCGCCAGGTTGCCCTTTTCGCTGCCACCACTGAGCTCCCAGCCGGTTTCTGAGCTTCGGGCTCTGGGCTCCGAGGACTCGCAGGGTTGGGAGAGGCTATCGGAGCAGGGATTGGGAGCCGAGAAAAATGCGAGGTGCCTCCTCAAGGTGAACTGGAAGGCTGGTGGTAGGAAGAAGGCTCCCTTCTTTGGGCCCCAGTTCCTCCGTTCGACCCCTGGGGTGACGATAATTCATTTACAGTGTTTAAATGAACCAATGACGAGAAAGCACCCTATGGAGCTGCGGGGTACCCAGGCGGCGCCGCTTAGGGAGCAAAAAGAGGCCAAATCCTAACCCATTCCCATTACCCGCCAGGCCGCAGAAAACATTTTACTTTAATCAACTGCTACTTCTTCTAGGTGAGAAGAATCTCATCTCTGCCCACGCTTGAGTACGACTTGAATTTTCCCCAGCCTGTCTCTTTTTTGTTTGTTTTCACATCCGAGTTTCAGATGTTTTCACATCTGAAAACAATTTAAAAGACGAAGAAAACTTTCGCCAGTAGGGGATGAGCCCCACTTCATCCTCTAGACTCCCTGGAAGATGGAGACAGGTTGGGAATACCCTCCCCCCAACAGATGAGAAACTGAGGCTTAAGAAGGTCAGCCGATGGCTCAAGGAGAATTAGAGCCCCCACCCCCTGTGGCTGCTGCAATCCTGGGCAATGCTGTGTGACATGAGACCCTCTTCCTGGCAGTGTATTGCTCTGATGCTCTCTGAGGCCATACAGCCACTGACCTTGACTGACTGTCCCAGAGCAACCCCAACAATCACTGTGCTGCCATTGTATGAAGATTTGCAAGCAATGGGGCCAGGAGTTTCCATTGTCACTGGGTAAGGCAGGTGGCCCAGGCCAGACAATTAAGCATAAACTAGGCTCTGAGAACTCAGGAAAAGAGAGGCTGCTGGCCAGCAGGTACAAGGAGCCTCAAGACCTAAGTTTCCCTTTCAGTGCAGAACCTCCTCTGCAAAACCTTAACCCAGTCCCTTGCCAATCTGGGCCTAATGTCCTTCCAGCTTGAATTCTTAAGGTTTCCTTAAGGAGAAGAGCTGGTTACCTCTGCATTTGTATGAAGGGGCATCTGGGTCAAGGGATAGGGAGAAATTTTCCATGACTCCTTGGATCTCCTCTTTTATATTTTACAAACCCTTCAGGGCACTTCTAAACTCGGGAAAGAAGTCACAGGGGACTATGACTGAACCTATGGGTGATTCTACAGATCACCAGCATTCCCACCCCCAAACACACACACACACAAACTGTACGTAAAATAGCTTTCAAAAGGGCAGGTTTTCCCAAGGGCCGGTGGGGATACGTCCACGCAGATACAAAGAACATGTAAATCACCCACCAATGCCACCCCACCCCCGCTGGACTAGAAGAATGATTTCCAGGGGGCTGGAACCTACTCACTAGCTTTCGAATGGTTCTCAACCGGGTCTGTTACATCTACAAACATCAAGTAGCATCTCACCAGAGAAAAGGGTAAGATTTGAGCAGAGAAAAGCAAGGAAATGCCCAGGCACTGAGGGGATCTTTTTGTATAGTTTTGATCCAAACGGGTAAACTGTCCCAGTTCACTCATCAAATCATTTAATTAAAATTTTACATTGTGGACTCATAGAATCTCCAAAGTACAGAATTTTGAAATGCATCAATAGAATAAAACATTTATGAACTAAAATCTTTAGGATTCTTTGTTCATGAAAATCTTAGACTCCTGGGAATTCTAATCTTAGGATGCTAACTCTTGGTCTGCTCGGTTAGCAGCAAAGTTTGAGAAAGAGGAATTGGAATTCTAGAAGAATGGGTCTGCAGACAAGAAACCTTGAGGATGAAGAAATTCATTGACATGAAAGCTTCTAACCTTAGTCATTGGAGCTTAAAAGTACAGAATCATAAACTCATGGGACCAAATCAAAGTTTTGATCGATCAAAGTCAATGGTCATGAATACTACAAGAATTATTAGAACTAGATTCTTTGAGTTAAAGAATAGTGGATCCAGTACTAACATTTGGGCTTAAGAAAGAGGAAAGTTGCGGATTTACAAAAACCAAGTCTTCCAATCAGACATTCCTAGACAGAAATACAAATTAAGTAATATATATATATACCTTAGAGCTGCAAAATATCTAAAATCTCGAGAAGTGGTATCATATTTTCAGACACAAAAACTTAGTCCCAGCACCTTAAAATGTGAGGAAGACACTTTTACACTCTACCCAGAAGCTTAAAGTCACAAGAATAGAGTCACTGTCGAAAAATTTGGACTCCAGGTCATGGAATCTTAAGATTAAAGAATGTGAATTCTTTGATTTATGGAATCATGTGAGGACAGTGGTCCAAAATTTAACATTTAGAAATCTTTATCTTAGAATCTTGGAAATGTAGAGAACCATAAAATCAAGTATTATAAGATTGATATGATATAATCCGGTTAAAATTTTTAAATTAAACTTTTTTTCCCTTTTGGCAATGCATAACTGGATTAAACCTGGATTTTTCCAGTCTGTGTTACTTTGGAAGAAGGAAACAGGGAGTTTCGTTGGGCGAGTGAAAAGCCCCACTCCAGTCGTTCTAGCACCCGTAGGGTGAAAAAGGTCGTCATTCAAACCGTGCAATCGCTTCCACATCCCGGGTCGGCGCAGCGAGGATCTGGGGTCTCTGCCTCTTTCTTCCGAAGGCAGTAGCCCAGTGCTTGGCGGGGCTGAGTCTGCCCCCAGCTCATCGCCATGAAGAACACAACTAAAACTCCTGAAGGCGGTGCGGCTCGCTCTGTTCCGCTCCGCCCCGCACTGCACCCGCAGCCAAGTGGAAAGCTGCGTCCCGGCAAAAGCCTCTGGAGTCGGCACCAAAGCCCAGAATCCTAAGGGTAGAAGGGGCCTCCGAGCTCCGCACGTGCCTTCCTGCCTCCTGTTCACAGAGCAAAAAATTGAGGTCCTGCGACGAGGAAGGGACATCCCCTATGTCTTTTCGCGAAAGGCCACGTAGCAAACCCTGGCCGGCGGGGTTACCCGCGCAGGGAGTTTAGGAAGAGACCCGAGGCTTGCATAAGGGGGTTGGCAGGAAACGAATTCAGAAACCGGACACCTGCGAAGCAAAAAGATCCCGCCAGCCCGCCCCTTCCCCGGGAGACTCGCCCACCCTGAGCACCGTTGTCCATTACCTCTCGGAACCCCCACTCCTCGCTGAATAAGGGGAGGTGCGGTTGTCCCCGTGGTCTTGGGAGTCACTTGGAGCCCTCCCTGACCTGGGCGAACTGGAGGAGGTGACCACGAAAGGGCAGAAGCCCAGCTTTCATCCTCTTTTAACTGTGCGTCACTCACCATCACACACACACACACACACACACACACACACACACACACACAGGTCTCTAGTCACCTAAAGACATGATTGCAGGTCGGGGGCGGCCTTTCCTTTAATATTGGCAACAGAAGGACTCTAGAGATGCAAACCCTCCGTACAGTCGAGGAATCTAGGACCCGAAAAGAGAAAGTGGCTGCCTCCAGCACATACCGGGAAGCGCAGTCGGAACAGACACGGGTGTGCGGCTCCGCTACCCAGCGAAGTCACGGTGAGGCTATGGCAAGTCACCTCCCCTATCAGGCCTAGGAATCCTCGTCTGAAAGATGAGGGACTGGATGGGGAATGGGCAGGCCAGCCTTGAATGGGGTTTGCAAATCATTCTTGAAAGACCTAGGGAGCCAGGCACTTGGAACGTCTTCTCCCTTCCCGGTCCCCCACCCAATAAGAATGAAGCGCTCCATCGGCCAGTTCTCACCCTCTGTGGACAAATAGTAAAGCAAACCCTTCCTTTCACCTGCAGGTCCCAGCCCTCTATAGAGGCTGGGAAAGTCCAGAAGCGCTGAGTTTCGGCGCTGAGATCTCCCAAGACCGCCCCTGGCCTCTCCTGTCCTCAGTCTCCCCGTCGGCGCGCAGAGGAGACCGGCCCGGGGGACCTCCAAACACCCTCCCCGCTCTGACGTTTGGGGCTCCCGCCCGCCACCACAACAGCTCTTACCTGGGGAAATGCGTCGGGGCCCAGGGGGCGGGCAGTCGGGGGGGGGGTGAGGGCGGGCGGGGAACGGGCGCCGCCCCAAGCTTCCTGGCGCCTTTAAGGAGAAGAAGCCGGTGGAGGGAGGAGCCGGTCCGGGTCTGTGCAGGGGAGAGCCTCGCCAGCGAACTAGGTGGTGGAGGCCAACGCTGCAGAGAGGGAGTCGCCGGCCGCCCCACCTGCCCGGAGCCGCAACCTCGACGCCCGCGCCTGGCTTCCTTGCCCTCCGCGCAATCCGCAGCCTGGGCCGCCGGGACGCGGACTAGAGGGCCCCCATTAGAGTACCCACGCCGTCACTAATTGCTCTTTCTTCTGGTCTTCGGGTCCGAACGACGGTTATCCTCAGATCAGCGGGAAACCCAGCTGCAGGCGCCTCTGCCCCAGGACCACTTCCAGACACCCGTGACGACCTGGCACCAGCGCCCAAAGGGCCGTTCAGTCTGCGACGGGCGCCTAGTCCCGGTCCCAACACCACTGTCGGCGCCTGGCCTCGAGCTCCAGAACACAAGCAGAGCCGTCGGTGGGCAGGACACTCCTGAGGCTCAGACCCTACCCAGCCAGACCGGAAACCGCGGGTGCCAAGCCTCCAGCGCGCCCCTGCCGGGGAAATCGTGCTTCGGGTGCCTGCCCGCGAGGACCTGGTGAGCTCTCCGCCGAGGGGCCCAGCGTCGGTTCCCGTGACCCAGCGTGCAGAGCCTGCAGTTCTCAG